CAACTTCAAGGGAAGGCTCTGTTTACCATCAGCTGGGAGGAGACCAACAGCAGCTTTGTGGAAATATGCTTGTGTTTAAGGTCAAGATGCACAGTTCAGTTTCCAGGAATTTTTGATGATTTATTGTGTGTCTTAAACATTCTTATATAGCATATTTTTTTCCTTTCTAAAGATCTTTTTCAGATCATTTTTGTCATATTTTCTTCCCATAACAGATCAAGTCTGTCTGAAGGTGAGGAAATAGAAAATCTACCTTAGTTGCAAAATCTTAAAAAAATATATTACGTGAGAAAATACCTATGCTTTGAAATATCACACACTTTATGGAGAACTTAATATTAGAAAATAGAAAGCTGAATGAAATTATAAATCTACTTTCCTCAATAGCGTCATCAATTTTTGATAGGCAAACTTATAAATCTAATTCCGTTTTTAAAAAACATCCTCAGGTATCCTGAAAAATATACAGAATGTATTACTTTGTAATTATGTTCTTATCACAAGCTTAGCCACATTAGCACTCTTTGCCAAACATAATATCAATATTTATTTTGGTTAATCAGCTGGAACTCAATAATTTAACACTAAACTATTGTATTACTTTTCTCTGGCTAATCTACTGTAGCAAAATTATATTGGTTTTCTGTAACAAAGCCTTCTAATCCTTCTTATCACTTCCCAACTAGCATCTCAGCATATTAGAGTGTTAAGATATCTACGATAAGAAGAGCAACTGGGTGAGAGAAGATAGACAGGACAGGTGTTGTGAAAAGTTAGGGTATCAGCCTCAGGTTAATCAGAAAAATTCCTAACTCTTCTGCCCATGATTGACTTGGGCATGAGCTCATTCTTCTATAAAATGTATGAAATGGATTCAACTAGTGCTAAAATTCATATTGCATTCCTTTCTGTAGAGTAGCATACCTCTTCCTTTCACCTGAATCTTCTAGGTATTAATTAATTAATTAATTAATTAATTAATTAATTAATTTTCAAAAGTTATCACTACCTTATTGGTCCCAAATGTTACTAATGGTTGGCATCTATTTTAGTGGGAAGACCACAAGCTCTAACAATGCCTTAAAACTGGCATCTCCTGGCTCCAAATGGGAAAATTGATGCGTCCGCAGACGTCTTCAAACATGAAGCCTGTCCTTGTCTAAATTGCCGAACAGCCTGACTGTCTTTGACTTGATGAAGAATGATTTGGAGTGGTTTATCGACACCAGTGACATCGCTTGTACTAGGACAGGCATCTTGTAACTAAAGTGCAGGTGGTGCAGTACACTCAAAATGGAAATTGCTCAGACAGAATAGCTACTGAAGACTCTAGCACTACATACTCAAATTGCTTCTCTGAGGTTCAAGAGCCGCGTTTTAGGATTCCTCAATGGCTGCTGCCATAACCTCGCTTCTCAAAGCCTCAATAATTGCTCAAGCCATCACATTTAACAAAAGGCTACATCTATTTCTCTCAATAAAGATTTATCCTAGTATTACCAGATATGTTTAAGGCCTAGAAACAAAGTCTGCCCTCCAGATAAAAGAGAAAAGCAGCCTTTTAGAATTAGTAGTTACCACTCTAATCTGAAGCTTGCACTGTCCTTTTCAATCCTAGCAGAGAAACAATTAATAAAGGAACCCATTAAGACCTGATTATTGCTGCTAAAAAAAGAAGGTAGAATTTCAGTCCTTTGAAGTAACTGAGAATGATTCAGGCCTCATTACAGAGATATAATCTACATTCATACATTTATGTTAGTGATTCAAATCTATTGGGAGAGATTGAATTCCGTTAAATAGTGCATCTTTCCTGCAGAACTTTTCTCAGGCTTTCTCGGGCTAACCTAAGAGGTGACCTAACAATGCAAAGTAGTGGGGTATTTAGGGCTTCGACTGTGCTATAAAAGAAAGGCTGTACAGAAAAGAAAAAGACAAATGAGATATAATCTAAAAAGCTATGTCAGCTTTTCCTTTGGGCCGTTTTGTTAATGCCCTTCCTGTCATCGCAGGGTACAGAAGAGTGGCAACTGGGATCTAGAACTTTTAAACGCTGCACCTGCTGCAACCAGGAAGTTGGAAGATGTCTTTTTCCCCATTTAAAGCAGAAAATAAAAGGAATATTTTAGTTACAAGATCTAAGTAGCTTCCTCTACTGACACAAAGTAAGTTATGGTGCGTATGCGTGTATGTGTGTGTAAGAATGAGAGAGAGAGAGAGAGAGACTGTCTTTACATGGGGCAGATGTCCAGTGTGAACCACAAAAATATTTTAAATCCCAAGCTGGTATCAATAGTGCTGGTTCTCAGTGCAGAGAAACCTCAAAATAATAACTTCCTGTGTTTTATAAATTTTCACAGCAGAATCTTCACTGTATGGTTTCATCAAACATAATTTTTATAAAACATGCAATTTTAATTAGTTTTCAATTTACACATTGGGATTCTTCTGAGCTGTTTCCGATGAAACTCAAATCCCTTAGAAACATCACAATGTCCTGTAAGCATTTGCCTGCTCAGATATGAAACTGTGAACTAGAGCACTGAAATTAATACTAGAGGTGCATTTCTTAAAATCCATACTTAAAGAGCAAAACTTATTTGACATATGCTCTTTATTTGTTCCATTTTCTAATTAATAGCTACAGAAATCAGAGCTAATTATATTTAAAAGTATACTATGATGTTCACCGCATTGTCAAAATCTTCTGAGTAAACTATTGCAATGTGTTTTAAATAATACAATTAAAATCCTTATTCTAGCATAACATGGTTCTATAGAAGAGCATGTGCAGGAAGCCATTTTTTGAGTTACTAAACAATGTAATAGGGCCATCATTTATAAAGTCCATCTCTCAGCTAGATTTTTTACTTCTTTTTTTGTATTTTTTTTCCTCAATTCACAATGAAGATGGAAGCCAAATGCACGTTTTAGGGATTCTGGCATGTTTTGTGTACACAAGTCCTTCTGTTTAGTTACCTCCAAATTACAACTACAGTTGTGAAATTCCCACATCCACCTTGCAGTGTTACCCTATCTCACATTGGCAGCCTGTCTATTTGGGTCAACCATGTGAAATGGCCCCTGGTAGGTCAAAATTGGTAAATAAATAAATAAGTAAAAGTAAAAAGCAAACAAACAAACAAAAACCTGGCAATTGCATTTGTTTCCCAAACCACACATGTCTAACTACCTTGCATAGGCACTGCTGGTCACACTTGCACTCACACAGAACATTTTTAAAGAAGTGGTCCTGGAGGGCTTGTTTGTTGCCTGAGTTGGAATGGATTGTTATCAGTGTTTTGTTCTTCCTTCCCCTTAACTCTTGGCAAAGGCTTGTTAGCCTTGGACTTAGTTGTGTCTACCCCTGGGTTGTGAGCGAGTTTCTGTCAGCCACGGGGTGTGTAAAGGAGAGTATGAGAGGAGAGAGGGTAACTGGTAGAGCAGTTAACGTTGTAAAATAGAACCCTTTAAACATTACATTGAAGGGGACCGCCCCTTTGCGGTAAAGTGCAAAGGAAATTGCACGGAAAAGAAAACAGACAGCAGGGTATTCCGCCAAATTGTGTGGTAAAATCTTTGCGATCTCAGTAAAGTGCGTTCGCTTTGAAGTGCACGCGTGATTCAGTAAAGGACTCATGTTAGCAATTAGAAATTGGTCATTTGGGTCCCTGATTTCATTTGCGCCAAGAGAGAGGAGACTTTTAAGGGTGACGATAAATCTCCCTGAGCTTAAAAGGCAGAGAGGGCCAAAGTGTGAACTCTTTACTTCAGCAACGGAAGCGAGAAATCAGTGATTCATTAAAGTGCAGACCTCCTTGGATGCTGGCAGAAGAGGAGGAAAGGAAACTGATTATGTCTGCCTTTCCAGTGCTCGCCCCGACCAGTGTATAACCGGCGGCTTTGGACGGTGGATCCTCAGCATCGTCTGCTTTCTCCCCAGCGCTCCCTCCTTCTGGGAAGGTGGGGAGGGGAAAAGAAGCCAAGCACCAGGCTCCAGGTGGCTCTTAAGCTCTTCACTGCCAAAAGAGGAAGAAAAAAAATCCTACTGGAAAACAAGTGAGAAAGAGGCTCCCCAGAGGGGACTGGTTCAGGCTGCAAGAGAGCAAAATTCGGAAAGCGTGGACAGAACTCGCGCCCGCGGCCAGCCCTGCGAGCACCGGGCGCTTTCGGAGCAATTAGCCGGTGCTGGAGGCGCACGCAGAGGCTGCGGCTTCCGCGGCGGGCGGCGTAGACCGGACCCGGCAGCCCCCAGCTCCGTGCACAGGCATCGCGCTCTCTCCCCGCTCCCTTGCTCTCCCCC